TGCATAGTTTTTCCATAATACACAGTTTCTGTGAACTATTTGAAGCCCTCTCATATATGCATTGAAATAGAACTAAAGGATGCTTTTGCTTTTGATAACACCAGTCTGGGCCCGCTGTGGTGACGCTGGTGAAAATGCTCTGCAATGCTGGACCCTGAGCCCCATAGGGAAGGTTCTGGGCTCATGTTCTGGGATGTCCTGCCAACTCTGGATATATAGCCATGCCCAGGATCTGGGCTGGCTGATCTGAACCTGTGGAAGGGTACTTGCCTCTGTCTCTCGCCCTCTGTCTCTCTCTCTCCCACGGAAGAAATGGATACACAAATTTTAGAAAAACCAAAAATTATAAATCTAAATCACTTTTTTTTTTTTTAGTTTTGCTAAGGCACTCGCCAGAAAGAGAGAGAGAGAGAGAGAGAGAAAGACAGAGAGAGACAGACAAAGAGAGAGAGAGAGTAATTACTTCCTGGGGGATGGCCATGCTGCAATCCTCTCCTATTCTCTTATGGGACTCTGGGCATTCACACATATGCAACCAGTGTGATGTTCAAGCTACAGAGTCCAAGTCATGAATCATATAGTCAGCCACTTGGGATCCAGCTGCTCCAACCTCCACACTGCCCACTGGCCCTCCAAATCACATATTTTATAATACTACAAATGGCGTTTTATTTTAAAAACCATATAAGCTGTCACTTACAATGATTTTAGAACAATGTCTTATGTAATGCCATGTTAATGCTCATAGAATAACTAAAATTAATTTTTTTTTTTTGGTGGGGGAGGCATGGTCTTGTTGAACAATGGTTAAGCCGCTTCCACTGGGAGCTGGATCCCACGTGGTAGATAGAGTGTGGTTCAAGTCCTGGCCCTGGAGGCTTAAAAAACATGCCAGGTGCAGGTGTGTTTGTGCCCCAAATCTTGACAGGATGGAGAAATAGAGGAAAAAGGATTGTGCAGTGACCGCATTCCACTGGGAGTATTTTCTCTTTCTTCTCTCCCTTTTTAGGAGTGCACATGTTCTCTGGCAATAATAATAATAATAAAAGAAAAAAAGAAAAAATAGCTTCAGGAAAAAATATTTTTGCTGGTAAGCAAAATAAACTCTAAAGAAGATAAGAATTATTTGTGCCCTAAAAAGACAGCAATAGGATTTGAGGTAACTGAATTTTCTATTTTTCTAATTATTAAACTCTGAAAAAACATTTTTAATAAAAATGAACACTATTGATTAGAGAGGAGATCCATGTAGGACCAGCAGTTGGTGTAATGGCTATATCGCTGGACTCTCCTGTAGTTGCCTGTAGTTCTAGTCCTGGACCTGGTGGCTTAAACTTATGCTGAGCATGTGTGCATGCATGCCCACCCAAGATCCTGAGAGAAGAATGGAGAAAAAGGGATTGTGGTATGGCCATCCCCTCTGAGGGGTGATTTCTTGCTTTCTGTCTCTCTCTGTCTTGCTGGAGAGCACACTCGCCCTATAGCAAAAACGTCTCAAAAAAAAAAAAAGAGAGAGAGGGAGAGGGAGAGAGAGAGCGAGAGAGAGCGAGCGAGAGAGAGAGAGAGAGAGAGGAGATTCATGTTACAAATATTATTCATTGTCAATAAGTTTATACTATAAACATGCAAAGGATGTTCAAAGAAATTCCAGAAATCTAAACTTAGACAGTTGGGACAGTTGATGAGTAAATTTATTTGGCCATTTTTATTTCATGCATTGACCTGTAGTGTAGAGTTACTCTTAGTTGTAGTTATAAAACCTCTATCTTTTGTGAGACTATTGGGGCACAAACAAGAGGAGTTACAGGTATACAGAGATGTAGGTTCCATCTAGAGTCCAGGGGTAAGACATGCTATGACTCTACTATAAACTACATGCTATGTGTGCACCTAGCTGGGTCAGATGGTCCTCACCTGTTCAATGCAGGGGATACCTGTACCTACTTACAGTGCTGCTGTGGGAAACACATGGAAAGTACAAGGAAGATTTTTTTTTTTTTGAGATGTTTTTGCTATAGGGCACACACGCTCACCAGAAAGAGAGACAGAAGGCGAGAAATCACCCCCCAGGGGGAGGCCACGCTGCAATCCCTTCTCCTCCATTTTCCTCTCGGGATCTTGGGCACGCACACACATGCACCCGTTGTGAGTTTAAGCCACCAGGTCTGGGACTTGAACTGTGGTTGGCTACATGGGAGTCCAACGACATAGCCATTACGCTAACTGCTGGTCCCAGGAAGTCTTCAACACATATACTAGGTGAATAGTATTCCGCCAAACTTTATGTTCTTCCCTGATCTCAGCCTATAACCTTATTTGGAAATAGAGCTATTGCGAACGTGATAGCTAGATAAGGTCATAGGGGACTAGGGTAGGCTGTAATGTAATGACTGGCATCCTTGTAAGAGGGATTTGGACACAGACACACATACACAGGGAGAATGCCACATGTAATGGATGCAGATCGGGGTGTATGTCTACAAGCCAAGGAATACAAAGATTGGTGGCAATCACCAGCAACTGGGAGAGACAAGGCGCTATCCCTCCCTTCGAGGTTTCAAAGACAGCATGGACTTGCTGTCACTTCACTTTGGGTTTCTGCCCTCCAGAACTGTGAGCAATAGATTTCTACTATTCTAAGCCTCTAGTTTGTGACATTTTGCAGAAAACTGACCCTTAGTAGAGTAGCTATTCCAGAACTGGAATGGCTCCTCAATAGGAGGCAAAAGAGGAAGTTCAATGTAGCTAGTCAGGCCTGTGTCCATGAGGTCCAGAGATAAACTCCAGTGAGGCTCTGAGAACAGGTGATATTCTGAAATTTACACAAAAATTGGCAAGCAGAAAGCTAGAATTCTGGCCCAGCTAGTGAAACAATTCAAGGTGTACTGGACTGCAGTGCTGGAAGCCACATGCTGACCATAGGTTTGGATGCTCAGATTGACCTGAAAGTGTGCAAGGTGTGTGTAGGCACCCAAGTTCCTGGGGAGCCAACTGAGTGACTAGGGAAAGGGAATCACAGTGTGACAAAACACTGTTGAGAGTGCCTCTCTCTCATGGACACATATGTTTTCTAACATAAAAAAAATAATAATGTAGAGAAAGCAAGCTGAGACTGCCACTTGGCAGCAGCCTGTTGCTTGGGATTTAGAGGAAGGTCTGTGATCTTTGAGCCTGGAGAATCCTACCTATCTGCACTAGTATATCATGGTGGGATGCATGCAGAGGGTATGGGTTTCTGTGTGGAGGGCAGAAGATGAGGATAGAAGACAGGTGAGGATTAGACCAAAGAAAGCCTTTATGCCCCTTTTCACTCTCTGAGATGCCTCCATATGGTTCTAGGCCAGGGCCCGTCAGTGGGAAGTCCATGGACCAGCTGTATCAGCAAACCTCACGAGCTTATTAGAATTGCAGAATCACAGGCCCTATCCCTAGATTGATCAGAAACTTGGAGCATGAGGCTAAGGAGTCTGTTTTAAAAAGCTTTCCAAGTGATTCTTAGGCAGAGTAAAAATGTGAATGCACAGGTCTAGTCTAGACCATGGATAGTCATGAACAGTTTAGCCTCAGGTAAGCAACCTAAAATTACAGTCATATAAGCAGGTTTCCTCTCTTTCTTCTGGGTTTTCTGATTCCATATCCTCTACTCCCTTTAAAATAGATTAAGAATCAATCTTCTCTCCTTACCACCATCATCGTAGACCAAACCACCATCATCATTCAGCTGAACTCATGAACATGTTTCCAAATTAGTTTCCCCGATCCTCACTGGTCAGCATGTTTTACAGACCAGCAGCACCAGCATCACCAGCTCAGGCCTCAGCTTAGGCTGTCTGAACCAGAACCTGCATCTAATAAGATCCCAAATGAGTCCTGTGTCCATTTGAGAAGCACAGTTCAAGGGTCCATTTTCCACACAAGAGCTACAGTCATTTTCCTGAGACTATCCATTGGACCATGTTAATTCCACTTAATGATTTTCTCTTCAGTGGCTTCTTTCTGCACATACCATAACTGCTGAGCTGTTTGTCATGTGCTCTTACTCTAAAGAACTTAATGTGATTCTCCCTTCTGTTTCTCTAACCTCCCCTCCGTTCATTCTACCCATGGTTTACTGTGTCTCACCTTCTTTACTGTTTTGGAATAAGCACTTTTCCCTTTTCCCACTTTCCCCTACCTCGGAGCCTTTACACTTGCTGTTTTCTCAATGTGGAATAATTCTCCCTAGTTTTTTACAAGCTGATTATGCTTTATTCTTTCCATGTCCCCAGCTGTATGTGTCTTTATGGGTCACCTCATTCCAGATAGACATATCAAAAGGACTCTCCTGTCCCTACTGGTTCTCTAGTACATTATACTATTTATTACTTTCTTTGATAGACCTCATCACATTCTGAAATTGCACTTGGTATTCATGTGCTTATGGTTCAACTTCCTGCATTATCCTGGTAGCTGCTTGAGGGCTGTCACATTGCTGTGTCCCCAGGGCACAGTAGACACTAGATAAATATAAGTTGAATGAATGTCTGAGGGGTGCTTCTCACCATGATGGTCTGGGCATATTTGGCTCTGGGAACCCAGGCACAAATACAGAGGTCACCTGTGCAAGGCATTATGGGTACCAGGGCAGCAAAGAACAGCTGAAACTTCTCTTTTTTAAGATGCCTCTTCAACTAGGTTCCAAATTTCACTCAACCGGGTTGGCAGCTGTGATACAGGAAGTTAATCAGCTGGTACTGACTCCACCAGCTAGAACTTAGAGCATGACTCCCTGAACATCTCTCGTCAGAGCTTGGTCCAAAAAAAAAAAAAAAAAATCAGTCCATGAGCCACCCTGAGCTAAACTGGCTTAAGAGCTGTAAAGAATGAAGGGGGTTGGGTGGCTTCCCTACCTGTGGTCATATAGGTCCCAATATATAGTGCAAATCATCCAACAATCCATGTAAATGACTCTCCTCCTCCATAGGATACAACAAACAAACAAAAGCACTTGTTCAACTTACTTTTTCTTACTGTCCTTCTTGGCACTCTTTTCCAAAGCTGCTCTTCTTCTCAGGTAGTCATTCTGAATTTCATTGTATTTTGTAGTGTGTTCTTTGATAAGGTCAGTGGTTTTCTTGTGGTGTCTCTTAACCAGGTCTTTCATTTCTTTGTAGTGCTTCTTTTGAAGTTTCACAAAGGATTTCTGTTGCTTTAGCTCTTCAATAGTCTGTGCTTCCACTTCTGCAATGAACGAGGATAAGACCAAAAGTCCCAATATAAAGGCAACCGGCAGCCTACGCTATGAGCCCGCTCGCTAGATCGTGACCAGTTGGGTGGAGCTCAAGAGCATAGCTTTGACGCCAAATGTCTCTGGGTTTGGTCTGGCTCTAGGACTTTGGGACTATGTTACCACATTTCTCAAAAAACCAATTTCTTAATTTGTATTATTATTACATTTTTTAAAAAAATCAATAATGTCATTATTATTTTAGAGTTTGGGCTCCCTAGAAGCAGATCCTTAGATAGGGATTCAGGTGCATGTGATTTACGGAGCATTTACTCATTGTCAAAGGAGGGGAGTGAGGGCAGCAGATGGGTGGGGGAAGTGCTGAGCAAGGATGTGGTCCTAGCTGCAGTCTGGCTTCTGCCTGATCCCCGGGGGAGCTCTAGGGCATATATCCTACCACAGAGTTAGTCTCATCCTGAGGCAAGAAAGTTAGCTTCTTGCATGTTTTGGGCAGTCAGCAGCAGGAGGCATAATCTTTTGCAGAAGAGGTTTCTGTTTGGACTGAGGGCAATTTTGTAGAGACAGGGAAGCTATGAGCTGGAGGCTCACCATAGCAAGGAGGTAGATGCACCAGATGTTCAGGGAATCTGGGCAGGACACCAACAGCATCTGCTTTAAAGATTATAACACTTCTTCTACTTCATAGGGTTGTTATGATGATAAGTAAAAGAATGAACAGAAATACCTATTTATCATAGTTTGGGGCACCGTGCCTGTAGAGTCATAGTAAATGATGGTGCAGGTTCTACAGCACGTCTCTAAGGGGTGCTCCTCACAGTACGGACATCATAGGTTTACACATTTATCACAACCGTGTATAGCAGTAAGGTGTCTTGAGGGAAGATCCCTTAATCTAAGTTTGCACAATGGCACCAGAAAGGTGAGAAGCAGCCTACATTACTGCATAGCATTTTATCATTGCTGAGAAAACTTAAAAAAAATCTTTTTTTAATTTTATATATTTGCCATTGGGCATATGTGCTTCCTGGAGAGAGGAAGAGAGAGAGAAAGCACTCCCTGGGGGGAAGGAGTACACATCACTTTCCCTTCTCTTCCATTCTCGTCTCAGGATTTGGGCCATGCATGCACACACACCTAAGATGTATTCCAAACTACCGGTTTTGGGACTTGTACCATAAAGCTGGCCACGTGAGATCCAGCCACTTTACACACCACACTGTCAGGTAGTCCACTGAGAACACTTACAACATAATAGCCTAACCTTAAAGCGTTCTTTATTTTACTGGTGTATTTAATTAGCTCTAGAATAAGCATTTTAAAAATATGTTAACATTTCTGAAATTAAGATGCATTGCATAGTTAAAGTGTGTCACAGATTTTCAGAGCTTTGCTTTCTAAGCAATAGATGAAGATGAAGTGCCTTATAATTTATAGTGTCTTAATTTCAATCAATGATCATTCATTTGCACTTAGATTAAGTCTTAGTTCAAAAATTTGTATCCTTTGATTTGAACCTCTACTTCTGGGGAAGAAAAATGTTACCATACATATTTAGAACAGTCCAGAGATTCAGAAATATCATATGTCATGAATAACAATATACTTGAATAGAAAATGAGATATTTAGTGGAAAAACATTGAAATCGGAATAATAACTTATGCTCCTAAATTCTAAGATCTTTAAGCAATCAGGATATGCTTCCTTTTTTTTAATAATGTGTCTATTCTCTTGACATTCAATTCCTTTTGAGAAACAGGCCGTGGAGAGAACCAGGTACATTTATTTAATGGTTTCCCTCAGGCCCAAACTGACTCATTATGGTTGCATAATAAGTTATTATATTAAGAATTTATAATCCTAAGAAGTTGCTGCATTTTTGGAGACAGATGAAACCCTACTTTTTATTTTATTTTAGTTTTAAAAACTTTGTCTTTAGAGAGAGATTTTTGTTACAGGGAGCATATGCTCACTGGAGAGACAAAGAGATAGAAAGCGAGAAATCACCCCCTGTGGGGAATAGCCATGCCACAACCCCTTTTCCTCCATTCTCCTCTCAGGATCTTGGGCATGCACACACACATGCCTGGCATGAGTTTTAGGCTACCAGGTCTGGGACTTGAACCGTAGTCGACTACATGGGAATTTGGCAACGTAACCATTACGCCATCCACTGGTCCCTCAATCCTACTTTTTAAAAAATGGTTTGTAGCAGAGCAGATATGACCAGTTAAGAAACAGGGCTCCAGATGGCCTAAGCTATTTTTTTGTTTGTTTGTTTTGATTCCATGTTAATACTATATATAAAAAGTCTATAGATGAGAGGCTATTCCTTTAAACATACTGTTAAGTATAAAAGACTGTCCATTTATGCAAAGACATGACTATCGCTCATAAATAAGCTACCTAGAGATAAGCACACCATATTTTGGCAAAGAGTCATTGCCTTTTGCCTATGTATTTACATACTTTTAACACATTCTAGGAACACTCCGGTCTAGTTTATGCATTAATGCTGTACTGTTTCCCACAACTAAATCTTTTATAACATGTTTTCTTTTATATGATCTTCAAGTAACTTTTTTAAGGCTTTTGCCATAAGATGTGTGCATTCCCACACAGAGAAGGAGAGAGACAGTGAGAGAGAAAGTGAGAAATCATCCCTTGGAGGGATGGACATGCTGCAATCCCCCTTCTCCTTCATTTTCCTTCTGGCATTTTTGGGTACACATGCATATATGTCTGGCGTGTTTTACAAGTCCTCAGGTCTGGGATTCAAACTGAGATTGACCATGTGCGAGTCCAGTGTCTTAACCACCACGTCGCCACCTGCTGGTCCCTTCAAGAAATTTTTCTATACATTTTTTTTTGTGTGAAATATAAATGTACATATAAAAATACATAAGTCGTAACTGTACAGCCCTGTATATTTTCACAAAATCAACATGCCTCTGTACTTATCACCCTGGTCAAAATCAGACCTAAGTAAAGAAAAGCATATCAATTTTAGCCTCATTAGTACATGTAGCAAATTAAACATTGCCACACTGTATTTCAGTTCTTAACTGCTGTGCATTTTATGATTACAAAGATCATGGTCTGCATTATCTAAAATACAGTTAATTGTTGGCTCTTTGGGGAAATCTACATTCCTGTTCGCCAGGTCACATCTCCAGTATAAAGCTATACTTCAATTCTTAAATAACTATTTTGTGAAACTATATTACATTTAGGCCAGGGGGGTTCTACTACCAGGTACCGTGGTCCTCACTTATCTACCGTGGTTTCATTTACTGTGGTTTGAGATACCTGTAGTCACCTGCAGTTCGAAATAATAAATGTTAAGTTCCAGGAATAGACAGGCCATAAGTGCTAAGTTGTACTGTATTCAGAGTGGTGTGATGAAACTCTGGACCATCCTGCTCCAGCCCACCTAGGACATGGCCCATCATCCTGTCTAACACATACTGCTATTGGTCCACTAGTGACTTAGTGGCTTGATTGTCAGACCCCCTATCCTGGTACCTCAGTGTTAGAGTTCTAGTAATATTTAACTTAATATTGGCCCCAAAATGCAAGAGTAGCGTGTGTGCGTATAATTATGATCATGCTATTTTCTTACTATTGTTAATCTTTTACTGTGCCTAATTTATAAATTAAACTTTATCATAGTTTTGTTTTGTTTTGCTTTTTTTTTCCTCTGGAGAGATTTTTGCTATAGGCTGTGTGGGCTCGCCACAGAGACAGAGAGAGACAGAAAGTGAGAAAGCACCTCCTAGGGAGGATAGACACACTGCAATCCCTTCTCCCCCCTTCTCCTCTTGGGATCTTGGGCCCGCACACACACACACACCTGCCTGGCATGAGTTTTAGGTCACCAGGTCTGGAAATTGAACCACGTTCAACTATGTGGGAGTTCAGCAATGTAACCATGATGCCATCTGCTGGTTATTTTAGGTACTTATATACAGGAAAGAACAGTATATATTAGGGTTTGGTACTAGCTGTGTTTTCAGGCATCCATTGTGGGTCTTGGAACTCATCCTCTATGGAAAAGAGGTAGAGGTAAGTTCTCTGTGATTACTTCCTGTAAGGTAGCCTTAACCAGCTGAATGTGTGCAAATTTTTTTAAAAGAAGAAATATTATTAATATTATTTTCAGACCTGAAGGGAAATCTTTCCTTAAAATACATATGCTATATAATGGTGAGCTGCTTAATTTCATGGAGAAAAGAGTTGGTATTTACCTGTTAAGACACTCTGAATAAGATCTTCTGTTTTTGCAGGAGCCTTTACAGAACCTGCAATAAAAAAGATAAAATAAATAGCTTTCCTTAACTTTAAAAATTGTTTTCTTATTATACAAAGAAATATTTGGTCCTTGCATTTAAGTTTCTTTATGTTAAAAAAAATCTTACAAATTGTGGGAGATAATCATTCATTAATTATTATTCTAAAAAAGTCTTCACTTTGGAACTTTGAGACAAACCTAATTAAATGTGAAATATGCTCCATTTATAGGAAGAGAAAGATCATCCCTTCATTTGGAAGCAAAACAAATTCTGTTTAGGCAGTGCTAGTGCCACCTTTTGACAAAATCAGGAACTACAAGTGGTCTTTCCAAAACCCAGGGCTGACCTCCAGGTGGTAATAATTTTTGCAGGAAAGAACCATTAATGGATAACAAAATCAGTGGGCAAGCAGTTCAAGAAGAAACAGGATACTCGTTTAGGTTCAAAGTGTCTCCTTCATAACATCTAGGAAAACCCATGACTCATTGGAGAAATCTTTTTTTTTTTTTTTGAGAGATTTTTGCTATAGAGTGTGTGTGCTCAGCAAAGAGACAGAGACAGAAAGCAAGAAATCACCTCCCAAGGGTGATGGGCATGCTGCAATCCCTTCTGGCCCATTCTCTGCTTCAGTTCTTGGGCATGCATGCACATGTGCCCAGCATGAGCTTCAAGCCAGGTCCAAGACTCCAACCACAGTTGACCATGTTGGGAGTCCAGCGCCCTAACTACTAGGCAACCTGCTGGCCCCGGATAAACCATCTTAACCAAGTGGCGTAACCTCACCAGCAGTGAGACATACCAGCTTCATGTACCCTGATAGGATGCATGGAGAAGGGAAGGACATTATGTCTGTGATGTTCTTGCCCCAAACGCATCACCTCAATCCACTCATTAGAGAAACTGAGCCAGTCCAACTGAGGTATCATCTATAAAAATAATGGGCCAAAAATTCTACAAAAGCATCATGTTATGAAATTCAGGAAAGACCAAGGGACGGTCGTAGATTAAAGGAGACATGCTGGGTAAATCCAGTGCGGGATCCCGGGTTGGAACCTGGAACCATCAGCACAGAAGTGGAAAGTAGGTGAACTTCAAACAAGGTCTGCATCTCCATTCAGGGGAAGGTGCCAAGGTTAATTTTCAGTTTTGGATGGCTGCACTACAACCCTATCAATGTTAGCTTTAGGGAAGAGGAGATAATCAGTGCAATGTGAACTGTGCCATTTATTTTTATTTACTTCTTTATTTTTTAGTCCGTGCCATTTGAAACACATTTTCTGTAAGCTGAATCATTCCAAAGTATCAAGTTTTTAAAAAAATCAAACATATTTCAAAGGCTAAACTTATTCTCAGAAGGACAAGACTATGTTTATTCATGTATATTTTCTTCACTCTTTGCTATAGGGTACATGCACTAGCCAGAGAGACAAAGAGAGAAAGAGGGAAAGTGTGAAATCACCCCCTAGGGATGATGGCCACACCAAATCCCTTCTCCTATATTCTCCTCTTGGAATTTTGGGTATACACCTATACCCAGTGTATCTTCTAAGCCTACAGGTCCAGGACTCGAACCACAAACTTTGCCATGTGGGATCCAGCTGTCTTAACCACCATGCACCTGATTGGCCCTTTACTTACATATTTAAATGATTTATTTATATACAATTTTTTGAGAGTTTTCTTCACTATAGGGCGCGTGTGCTCGCCAGACAGAGAAAGACAGAGAGACAGAAAGCGAGAAATCACCCCCCAGAGGGGATGACCACGCCGCAATCCCTTCTCCTCCATTCTCCTCTCGGGATCTTGGGAATGCATGCACATACTCCTGGCATGAGTTTTTTTTTTT